TCAAAAAAGTACTCCAGAGTGTTGTTCAGCATGGGGGTGAGTAGAAAATGAAGGCTAATCATGTTTTGGGTGTACTATTCCTTTAAAGCAGCCTGATTCTCAGCAGTAAGCCTCCAGAACCTCTGAAGGACCAGTTCTGTATGTGGGGTTAAAAAAAAAACAGTCGACAGCAGGTCAGTGTTCCCAATCATACTTTCATTATTGATCCAGACGGTACATTCTGGGTTACTGGATCAGAACCAGAGGACAGAATCATTTCACTGGGTTACAAAGTTCTGGAGGACATCGTATCAGGAGGATCTTCATCCATCCTGCTCAGCTAAAGCACAGAAACGGCTGTGGAGTTCAGATTAGCAGCTAAAGGGCTTCTGACCCGCCGAGGTCCTGTCTCCTCTCTGAGGCGCCGCTCCTCACCGCCTGCCTGCCGCACCCACGGCGCTGCTCCGGTTCATGTTGCGGCTCAGTTGAGGGAAATGGACCGTGGGAGTTCTGGATGTGGGTCCATAAAGGCCCAGGTTCCTGGCTGCCACAGACTTCCTAGGCTGCTTTATTGAAGGAAAGGGGGAGAAGATGTGCTGCGAAGAAACGGGAGGAGGGGGTGATGAAGATGATGGGAGGCGGGATGCAGAGCCTGGTGCAGGAATGAAGGTCAACGAGGAAGGAGGGGAAGGTGGACCATGAGCGGTCGGAGCAGGTGGAGAAGAGGATGAGGAGGATGAAGGTTGTGCAGGAGGAAGGCTGTGGGGGGAGCTTGGAGGACGAGGAGGTGAAGCTGGAGCACAGTGGGCTTCAGAACCAGAGTCCAAATGTCCGTTTGAGGAGGGAGGAGGAGAAGGAGGGGTCAGGGCTGCAGGTTTACTCTCGTTACTTTCTGGTTCCTGTTCTGGGTCGGTCCCGGTACCCATTTCCAGGTCCAGGGAATCCAGCTGCACCACCACCTCCTCCACCTTTACCTCCTCTGTCTCCTCTGCAGGCTGAGGAGCCGCTTCACATCCAGCAGGAGGTGGAGCCTCCTCCTCATCCTCCCTGCTCCGGACCAAACCCCCTCCCTCTTCATCCTCCCTTTCCTCAGAATCTCCAAACCCGAGCTGAGCCCGGGCCCGGACCATGTTTTTCCGATGCTGCCGGACGTGGGCCCGCCAAGGAGAACCTCTGGAGCTCCCTGGAGATCTGCTGCTGCGGGAGAGCAGCGACGAACAGCAGCGCCTGGACGGAGAGCCCGTTAGGGGCGGAGTACCGGCAGAGACGGGCCTGCAAGTTCTGGAAGGACCGGCCTGTTTCCGGTCCAGCAGCAGATGGTTGATGACGGAGCTGGACTGGTTGAGCTGGGAGGCCAGAACACGTGTGGCGGGACACTTGCCTGATGGAGGAGAAAACGGAGACAGAAACGGGTCAAAACGGGCAGAGTGCCGTAATTATCCGAGCTCTAGAACGTGAAAGAACCAAGAACAGCCTGGTTGAAACCTGAAAACAGAACATGCCTGATATGTGGAGAGATGTTAGGAAGCATGAGATCAGATCAGGGGAGGAGAAGCAGGATGAGCAGTAAAGCAGGTCAACATGCAGAACCCAGACCTTTCAGCACCCAGCAGAACCTGAACACAACCCGTTTTAGGAGGTCTTTCATTTCCAGTAGTGACTCCTGTGCTCCAGAAACTAGAACCTCATTGGAAACTTTGTTCTTCTGTGTTCACACTGAACGACGCAACTA